GGGTAAATTTTTTTTTTTTTTTGATTGAGAGACTGAGTTCGACTCTTAGCACTCTGAGAAACTGAGTTCGACTTTCGAGCACAATAAAATCCAAACTCCACGTGACTTCCAAAAGTTTCTTTTCATTAGAAAAATATCAATTTGTTGTTATTTAATCAAAAGAATCTTTCAGAATGTCTTTTTTTTGTCGTTATTAATGATAATTTTCCATTTTATAACGTATTCTGCGAGTGACAACGATTTGTAAGTAAAATACTAACCATTAATCGAGACAAATGCTCTTCAGGTGTAGATTCCATTGAGAAGAAAAAGAGATTTTTACACGGTTGCTCACTTTTTAAAGAGTTTTCTCATAAATAATAGTAGTATTTTCTGCTTATTCCAAAAATAACAAACTTTTTTACCATTTTAGCGGATCTAATTTTGAATTTAAAATTGAAAGGTTGACCAATTCTATGAAGCCCTGAAAAAATTTCCTGAATTTTAAAATAATTTTTCCTACTCCCATACCTGCTCTTTGCTTTGTCATGGAGACTTTTGGAAGATATTTCCTTCTCTTTCTTACAGAATCTTCGCTAGAATGGCTTGGAGCACATTAAAGAGGAACTAATATGATAAAATATAAAATTAATATACTAGAATACCACTGTAGGTTATATATTAATACTATTAAATATCATTATTATACTGTGTATATAATATAGTAGAATACCATTGTAATTTATACACCGTTAAATACCATCATTATATCATGTACATAAATATTTATAACGTGTATATATTTTTTTCACGTGTATTTTATATATATATGTATTATATTGTATGTGTATATCATAAATACGTCATACATGATAGTATTTTATATATATGTATATACCATTAAGATACTATGAATATATACTAGTAATGTATATTCATATATAACATTACTATTCATCATGTATTCAATAATTATACAATATAATGTATTATTAAAGTTAATATATTATAAGTATAACAATTAGATTTAAAAGGTGAAGGAGAAATGAGACTATCTTGAGGTAATGCATTAAACGAGGGAGAGAAAGTTGTGGGAATGATTGTTCGAGCGTTACAGGTTTGTGTTAAAAATGTAGTTAATTAGCTGTCATGTTTGTTAATTACAGCTAGTACTCTGTAAAAAAAATTTAAATATTGGCTAAATATATTTTTTCTTCATTGACAAATGCGTAAATAAATAGTTTTGGTTTTACCTTTTGAGTAGGATTCCAACTAATTATGTTTTTTAAAAATCTCATTTAAAACGATGAGATTTTTTTTCGAAACACATGGTCCTACAAACACCATTCCCATCAATATATTTTGGTTTCTTTCATTTTCTTTGTGGTCCTTCTCTCATTAAATTATTGTATATCATGGTCGTTCTAGTTATTTTTTCCAATCAATAATCTTACTTTTCCATTACCTCTTGATTCCATTTGTATGAAGTAATATTATTTAATGAATTAAACAATTTTATTTAAATATTACTATGTTTTAAATGGTTTTGAAACTTTTACAATTCTTTGATGGTGCTTCAACTTATGGCCGTTGACATGAAAGTGTGGAAGTAGAAAATTAATGTAGAAAGCTACTAGGTAGTCAGAAGTGTTTCTTTCCTATTAACTTGTATTAGTGTTAGTTTTGTATTCTATTATTGTTAGACTTCTATTATTACATATTATTTCTTTCGCTTCATTATCTTATTATTTTTTTGTTGTTATTTGCTTGTTACTACTGCTTTATTTTCATCTTTCCTTGAGCCTAGGGTCTATCGACAAGACGACAACAACCTCTCTACCCTAAAGACAAAAATATTTTTATTTACAAACAATTAATCAATTAATTATTTGACCGAATCCGTAGCCGAGCGAGCGACGACGGCGCGAGGCTTGCTTTCTTCTTAACTCTTTAAGAGCTACAAGAAGAGCAATTATATATATACCCACCAAAAATCTTTTCCTCTTCCAATATGGGACAATGTCTCATTATCAAGAGGGGGAAACTTAAAATTTTACTCAAAAATTTCATTTTCCCTCCATTTCCCATTCACCCTCATTTTAAGACTATTTCATCTTAAAAACAAAAACCTCAACAGTAGTTTTATTTAATAACATTGATTAGTTACCTATAATAAATAATAAATAACCTGTTATAATATATTAAATTACATTGATTTATAAAAAGTTTATTATATCGTGGTTTATATAACTCAAGTCATTTTTTTATGTAAGATAATTATATGAGAGAGATTGATTTGAGTTTGATTAAAGATAAAGTATGAATCTTATTAATTCCAAGTCTTAAGCGTCAGCCACCAGCTCTTCACCCACAAACAATCCCTTCACGGAAAGAGATAGGGTTTTAATTAAATATCAAATTTATTTGTTTGTTTGAATCAAAGAATCATATGCAAAAAAGCATTAGTTAAGAATATATAAACGTGAATAAAATATTTTACTCATTTGATTATAGCGTCATTGTCCCAAACTTGGAATTTTCTTTTTCTCTTTGAGTTTCCATAATTAATAATTCTTTTTAATGGATTTGTGGTTCATTGCATGCATTGTAATGATTAATGAATAATATTCAATGTTCTCAACTCCCTAACTTTAATAGGAAAAATTGAATGAGCAAACTTCAATTTCTGAGGGTCTTAATCACCCAATAGAAACTTTATGTTATAATATTTATTATTGCAGCCATTTTAGAACAAGAAAATGATAGTCCACAGAGCAGAAAAAATTAAGCAAATCATATCAAGAAAACACAAACGTAGACTTAAAGCAATGCAAAAGCAAAAACAAAAGAATTGGTCTCCTTAACGTAGCATCAACGACTTTTATGATTCCCATCGCAAGTGTTTGTCATAAAGCAAATCTTTTTACGGCCATTTACAATAATAAAACTTATTCGTACGCGGTACATTTACGCTAGATCAATAAATATAACATATTTGTGATTTTTTATATATACGTAGCCCGGTGTACGAAGGATCCTGTGTTCACGTAGGGTCCGGGGAAGGGGCGCCGCACCCCAAGGGATGCGATGTAGGTAGCCTATCCTAATGCAAACATCAGTGGCTGATTCCACGGCTCGAACCCGTCACCTATAGATTATACGAAGACAATTTTATCGTTGCTCCAAAGCTCCTCTTCATAATTAAATAATATGTATTCATATTTTAATTTTTAGCTAATAAAATTAAATTATTTGATTTGACCTAAATTATTAGGTGCAAGTAAATATTTATGGACTCTCGCTACACTTTTGGCATCTCCAAGAATCTTTCTAAAACGGCAATACCAAGTAACCCAAAAGTTTCCTTTATATTTCACGTACCTTTCTTTTGTTTTCATCTTTTAATTTCCAACCCCCACCAACTAATCCACACCTAAAAACCCTCTAATTTTCAATATTTAAACCTTCATTATTCTTTACCATCAATCTCATTTCTGTTCCGATCTCTTCGCTTGTTCACGTACGCACATTCTCAACTTTGACGTCTTTAACGTTTGGTTTATATCTTTGATTAGGTCATCTTCACTTTCTTGAATTATTTATAAGCACATTTCGTCAAATATATTGTTGTTTTGTTTGTAGGTATAAGGTACGTAGAGATATTGTTGTGGCATTGAGCGATTGATTTGAATAAGTCGATCGCTCATAATTCATTGTCGTTCGTCTATTTCTTTTGGAGAATTGCAGTTTGTCGAAAGGAAAAAAAAAAGGATGGCAGAGGAACAGAGAATGCAAGAAGCAGGAGGGCATAGGCTTTGTGCCAACAATTGTGGATTCTTTGGCAGCCCAACAACTCTAAACCTCTGTTCCAAATGCTATAAGGATCATTGCATGAAAGAACAACAATCGCGAGCAGCCCAACTTGCAATGGAAAAGACTCGCCCCCAACAACAACAACAACAATCTGAATCAACATCTTCGTACACGCCATGCATGAAGTCATTACCAATTCTTGAACTCTCACAACCACGTCATGTGGTAGAGATGGGGGGATCCCCTAAGGTTGAACTGAATATTGCAGCCGAGGTCCCTCAACTGCAGTATTCAACTGTAGTTGAAGCCTCATATCAGGTGCAGTTGGATACTGCAATCAAGACCCCTCAGGTACAGTCGAATCGTTGTGCCACGTGCCGGAAGCGGGTTGGTTTAACGAGTTTCAAGTGTAGGTGTGGGGTCACATTTTGTGGTTCACATAGGTACCCTGAACAACATGGTTGTACCTTTGACTATAAGTCAATGGGAAGGGTGGCCATTGCCATGGCTAATCCACTAATTAAGGGTGAGAAGCTTCACAAAATTTGATTAATTAAGGAGAATTAATTTGATCATTTGGTCCATGAAGTGGTTGATCAAACGGCCAAGATGTCGTTTTGGTGATGCTCATGGATTGGATTGATGATTTATAATATGGAGTTGTTGCTAACCACAAGCTGGTAGATGGGCTTTGAATTATACATTTTCTTTAATAATGTAAGTTAGGATATTTTATTGGTTGTTTAATAATTATAGTTTAGGATATTTTATTGGTTCTTTAATAATTATAATGTATGGTAGGACATTTTATTTCTCTAATTTTCTTAATTTGTTGATTCTCGTTAAAGTTATTTGCTACAACAGTCAAGATAACATAGTTTTAATTCCATAACTACTTATTTAATACGAAACTTGCTTTTCTCATTCTTTCATCATATCATTATTATTTTCTTATGTTATAATGTGTGTGTGTGTGCGCAAATTGCATAATTCTCCAAGTATCTTTGCTTATATTGAATACACATACAAAATGTGTATGTGCGCGCAAATTGCATATATATTATAGGAACTTGGCTTGTTGTTTTTCGAAGTGACATAGAAAAATCTGAATGTATGAAATTGGCTTGTTGTATTCAGTTTATCAATTTTTCTAACAATTATTGCTTAACAATATGTAAAATGTCCATACTTGTGAGTGCATGTTTGTTTTTAATTGATTCAGATTTATAGACAGTTTCAATAAAATTAAAATTATTTCATCAAGTAAAACTATTATAACGGAGTGCTCGTACATTTTATTGTTGTTTTTTCCCAATGTGAATGCTATTCAACAAAGGATAAAATAAATGTGATACTATTTCTTTTTAAATTTGGTAACATCTCTATTTATCTTAATTAGAAGGGGTGTTTGAAGAGCACAAAGTCTATAGTTACGTACATTCTTGATGAAGAAGAAGAAGAAAGAAATTAAGGAAGATGGCTAACAATTAATTAGTTCATTCAAGAAAAACAAAAATTCTAGAATTTTGGTAGTAAAATAAAATTTGCAATATAGTGGTTGATCATAAAGAGGAGACTTTATTGAGTCTGACAAACAGTAAAATGATTGTTTTTTTATGTAATATTCTTAGGGTAATTTCTTGTTGAAGCAAATGCTAATATAATAATTAGAAAATTTCGAGGGTTTGGTCAATGACAAGCAAGTGTTGCTATCATCGTATTCAAGTGTCCTAACACATTTTTTTCTCGAGAAAACACTTTTTTGCTTAAAAACAAAAAAAAAA